ATAACAGGAACATACCTAGTCATAATAAAAGCTATATACAGCAAACCAACAGCCCACATCAAACTAAATGGAAAGAAACTCAATGCAAGTCCTCTAAAATCAGGAAAAGACAAGGCTGTCTACTCTCTCCATATCTCTTCAATATTGTACTTGAAGTTCTGGCTAGAGCAATAAGACAAGAAAAGGAGATGATGGGGATACAAATTGGAAAGGAAGAAGTCAAACTTTCATTATTTGCAGATGATATGATAATTTACATAAGTGACCCAAAAACTCTACCAAGGAACTCCTACAGCTGATAAACACCTTCAGCAAAGCAGCAGGATACAAGATTAACTAAAAAAACTGAGTAGCCCTATTATATACAGACAAAAAAGGTGCTGAGAAAGAAATCAGAGAAACATCACCCTTTACAATAGCCCAAACAAGTGAAAGACCTGTATAGCAAGAACTTTGAGTCTTTAAAGAAAGAAATCAAAGAAGATACCAGAAAATGGAAAGATCTCCCATGCTCTTGGATTGGTAAGAGCAACATAGTAAAAATGGCAATGTTATCAAATGCAATCTACAGATTCAATGCAATCACCATCAAAATATCGGCACAATTCTTCACAGACCTTGAAAGAACAATAATCAACTTTATATGGAAAAACAAAAGACCCAGGATAGCCAAAACAATAAAGAAACTTCTGGAGGCATCACCATCCTTGACTTCAAGCTCTATTAAAGAGCTATAGTCCAGAAAACATCTTGGTAGTGGCACAAAAATAGACAGGTAGACCAATGGAATCGAATTGAAACCCTGATATTAACCCACATACCTACGAACACATGATTTTTGACAAAGAAGCAAAAATTATACAATGGAAAAAAGAAAGCATCTTCACCAAATAGTGCTGCATAAGTAGAAGACTGCAGATAGATCCATGTCTATCACCATGCACAAAACTGAAGTCCAAATGGATCAAAGACCTCAACATCAATCCAGCCACACTGAATCTCTTAGAAGAGAAAGTGGGAGGTACTCTTGAACGACTTGGTACAGGAGACCTCTTCCTAAACATAACACCAGTAGCACATACACTGAGATCAACAATTAACAAATAGTACCTCCTGAAACTGAGAAGTTTTCGTAAGGCAATTACAGAGTCAAAAAGACAAAAAGGCAGCCCACAGAATGGGAAAAGAAATTCACTAACCCTACATCTGACAGAGGGCTAATCTCCAAAATTTACAAAGAACTCAAGCAGCAAGTCTCCTAAACACCAAAGGATCCAATTAAAAAATGGGCTACAGAACTAAATAGAGAATTCTCAATAGAGGAGTCTGAGAGACACTTGAGAAAGTGCTCAACATCGTTAGCCATCAGGGAAATGCAAATCAAAACAACTCTGAGATACCATCTTACTCCTGTCAGAATGGCTAAAATCAAAAACACCAATGACAGTTTTGCTGGAGAGGATATGGAGAGAGGGGAACTCTCCTCCACTGCTGGTGGGAGTGCCAACTCGTACACCCACTTTGGAAATCAGTATGGAGATTCCTCTGTAAAATGGGAATCAGTCTACCACAAGACCCAGCAATTCCACTCTTAGGCATATACCCAAAAGATGCTCATTCATGCAACAAGGACATCTGCTCCACTATGTTCATAGCAACATTACTTGTAATAGACAGAACCTGGAAGCAATCTAGATGCCCCTCAACTGAAGAGTGGATAGAGAAAATGTGGTACATTTACACAATAGCGTACTACTTAGCAGGAAAAAAAACAATGGAATCTTGAAATTTGCAAGCAAATGGATGGCACTAGAAGAAACCATCTTGAGCGAGGTAACCCAGTCACAAAAAAGACAAACATGGTATGACATGGTATGTACTCAGTTATATGTGGATTTTAGGCATGAAGCAGGGGAGTACCAGCCTACAATCCCACAGTCAGCGAGTCTTGGAAACAGGGAAGCCCTAAGAGAGATGTGCATGGTACCCCAGAGAAGGGGAAAGGGACAGAACCTCCTGAGGGGACTGGGAGCACAGCGTGGGGGGGGGGGGCGACGGGACACCTGGGAGAAAGAGAGGGGGTGGAGGAGCCAAGAGGAGGATATGCAGGAAGAATAGAGAGCAGGGTGAGAGATACCATAATAGAAGGAGTCATTATAGGTTTGAAGAGAGCTGTGGCACTAAGTGAGATTTCCAGAGATCTACAAGGATGACACCAACTGGCAATCTAACCATTATTGGAGAGGCTACCTTAAATGCCCCTTCCAAATAATGTGGTTAACAACTTCCTTATATGCCATCCTAGCACCTTCATCCAGTGGTTGAAGGAAGCAGAGGCAGACACCCACAGCTAAACACTAAACTGATCTCCTGGAAACCAGTTGCAGACAGGAAGGAGTGAGGAGCAAAGGGGTCAAGACTGGGTGGGAGAAACCCACAGATACAACTGACCTGAACAAGGGGGAGCTCATGGACCCCAGACTGATAGCTAAGAGGCCAGCATGGGACTGATCCAGACCCCCTGAACTTGGGTGTCAGTGAGGAGGCCTTGGCATTCTTTGGGGCCTCGAGCAACAGTTCAGCATTTATCCCTGGCATCCAGATGAACTTTGGGAACCCATTCTATGGAGGGAAGCTGTCTTAGCCTGGACACATGGGGGGGGCTAGGCGTTGCCCTGGATGACATGACAGACTTTGGAGATTCAACCTCCCTGTAGAGTGGAGTAGAGATTGGGTGGGGGTTGGGTGGGTTGAATGGGGACAGGGGAGGAGGAGAGGGAGAGGGAGCTAGGATTGACATGTGAAGCAAGTATGTTTCTGATTTAAATTAAAAATTAAAAAAAGAGTACTGTAACAAATATTCCTGACTTTGACAATACACTATGAAAGTTCCAGCAAGAAATGTACTTAGCAAGAGTTAACTCAGCAGAGAGTTGATCACAACACTTAGTCTCACTTGTTCTGACATTTCTTCCTCTAGTGAAAGCACTTACATGGGTTCCAAGAATTTCCTATACTGTACTAAAAGGGTTATTTGATTACACACATAATTTGAGGCCAGCCTATTTTAAAAATAAAAAACACTGTAAAGACAAAGAGAAATAATATTTAATAGAAGCCATCCTCAACATATTTTGAAGATTTTTTTTTTAGGTTAAGACTTCATGGGGCTGGAGAGATGGCTAAGCAGTGAAGAGCACTAGCTGTTCTTCCAGAGGTCCTGAGTTCAATCTGCAGCAACCCCATGGTGACTCATAGACATCTATAGTGGGATCTGATACTCTCTTACAGTGTGCAGGAAGAACACTGTATGTATGTATGTATGCATGTATGCATGCATGCATGCATGATCTTAAAGGAATTAGAAATACAAAACACCATGAAGTAAAATTAAACAGATCCAAAGTCCAAAGAAGATTTTACCATACAGACAAATTAGTGTTTATGATTCCACAGAACATATGCCCTGTAGGATCTAACATCTTTTGTTCAAATTGAAAAAGAAAAAATATATATATACTGATATATATATCAGTAAAACTCAGAAGAAGGGCTTCATTAAGCTCATTTTTAGTTTATTGCTGATTTTCTAATAGCTTTTTTTCCCAGACAAACATGCGTAATGTGAAAATAAATGAGACATTATAGGTTTCTAAACACTTATCAGCAAGAAACTTACTAAGTAAAATGGAGGGTCATTTATTCAACAGAATACTATGGCATTCTTTAGTACCAACACAGAATGATTTATAAGATTTATACCATGCTGAGGAATGCCATTTCATCTTCAAGAAAGAAGAGCTCTCTAAGTATATATAACTGCTGTTATATGTGGACTCTAATTCTAGAATGACAGATAAGAAACTAGTAACAGTAGCTGTATCTAGGGGAGAGAAAAGAGTAGCTGAAATTACAGCTGCCTTCTAAATTACATACCATATTACTTATCTCAGACATAAAAAATTTCCTTTGACTAATTCTGTATTATATGGCTACCTCAAAATTTTTATCTTTTTAGTTGTTCTGGCTAATTTTTATGTCAACTTGACCCAGGGTAGAGTCATTTTAAAAGAGGGACCCACATTTGAGAAAATGCCCTATCACACTGACGAATGGACAAGCCTAACAGTGCATTTTCTTAAGTAGTCATTGGCGTGGGAGGGCATAGCTCACTGTGGGTGGTGCCGTACCTGAGCAGGTAGTTCTGGGTTCTATAAAAAGGCAGGCAGAGCAAGCCAGTAAGCAGCACTCCTCCAGACCTGTGTATCAGCTACTCCTCCACATTCCTGCCTGCCCTTTTCCCATCATAAACTGTGATTGGATGCTAAGCAAATTAAGCCCTTCCTTTCCCAAGTTCTTTTAGTAATGGTGTCTCATCAAAACAATAGAAGCCCAAACTACAGCACTAGCATACATTAACTGATATGTTATGTAAACAATATAACTTATTTGCTTTAGAATGTCATTTTAATACTTATTATCATATTCATCTCCCTGCTTGTCCCTTCCTCTCCAAATGCATCATCTTCTACATGCATGGTTTCTGTTTGTTTGTTTGTTTTTAATCTAGATTCCACATATGAGAGAAAACATGTAGTATTTATTGTTTCACAACTAATAAATTTGCAAGAAAATTATTTATTTCCTGATATATTATCATTATATGAAAAAATGAAATCAATTCCAACCACTTAGCAGTAGATAGTTAAGCTGCCTGGCTTCTACATGCTTTTATTTACAAAAACAAACACACAAGCAAACAAACAAAAATCAATACAAGAAATCTCTACTGAGATAAAGGTGCTCCCAAAATAGAACATCAGAAAAAAATTCTTAGTGGCTTTTTTAAAACTTGATTTTGTTATGTGTAGTATTCATTCCTAGCTGACTATTAAGACTCAGTACCTCATTCTCCAAATATTAAGACATATAAAATTAATCAACGTTTGAATGAATATTCTTTTGCATGAAGAACAAGGCAGTAAGACACACACTCCTACCTTTAAAACTGTCTCATTGGTCAACAGTGCAACTTGCTTTCCTGAAGCTTGCTTTTCCACGTACCTAAAATTTTTATCATCCCATATAGAAAAAGGGAATATTAAGCAATTTGCATATTTGAAAGGCATGGTAGGAAAAATAACTACCTAGGCTGATTTCCTTATTTATTCATTCTTTTTCAAAAATAAATTCAAGATAACAGTTCATAATTACTTCAATCATAATTAATGAAGTCATAAAGGCCATATGTCCCAGAAATAAGAAATGTTGTTTTTAAAAGATAACTCTGGAGAACTAACAAATTATGTAAGATATTAGAAAAATATTTTTATGTTAAAATTTTAAGTCCAACAAAGAAACTCCATCTTTAAAAGCAGAATGGTTCTACACTACGAAATAAATTTTCATTCCAAAAGCAACTAAAGCTAGCTAGCATCCTTCATTTCATCCTAGTCTCTAGTATAAAATACATTAAATACATATTCATCTTTTTACCTCCTAAATGATGGAAGGCGCCGGATGTTTTCACATTGATTAACTGAGAAACATTTTATTCTTTTCTTGGCTTCTGGGAGATCACAGCACAGGACACTTAGGGGTTGCAAATAAAAATGTTCCAGTAGAGAAAGCTGAAAGAAAAATGAAGTTTTTTTCTTTTGTTTTTGTTTTGTTTTGTTTTGTTTTGCCCTTTATCTGCTTAATTTTAACTCTTTTTAAGAGCACAAGTATTTATGGTTGGGCTGGAGAGATGGCTCAGTAAATAGAACCCTTGCTGTTCTTGAAGATAACTGAGATCAGGTTCCCAGCAACCAGAAAGCAGTGACCATTTATAACTTCAGTTCCAGACAACCTGGAAACTCTCTTCTGGCCTACAGGGCATGGCACATGTGGGACACAAACATACTTGCAGGAAAATTATCCAAAAATAAAATATTTTTAAAAATTATGTCATAATAACATTGCAACAGTATTTATGCCCTTTCATATTTTCAAGGCTACAATTCTGTGGACAAGGTCAGTATCAAAGGTCACAAACACACAGAGAACACAGCTGCAAGCATTCTTTCTCTGGCAATCCCCAGTAGACTGCATTCCTTAGGTAACAAGTACTTCCCCTCCAGCCCAACTCTCAATGGTTAAGACTGTTCACTGGAAACAGCTCTTTTCCATTACTGATACCCTAATTTTATTTCTATAGGTGGCTGCAAGGTAAGAAAGGAAAGGAAGATCCTAGAAAAAAATAACTAGATTTTATCTTTCTTGATCTTACTATTAAAATGCCTTAATCACCACACACTAGTCAATCTGAAATAACGTAAGCTATGTAGAATCAGAAATGAACTTTCAAAATCATTAGTATTTTCTTACCTTAAGGCCTTTGATGAAGTTTTGAATTGAGAAATCATGGTATAAGAAGATGTTGGTCAGAACCTGTAACGCCTTCTTACTTATTTTAAAAGGAAACTGAGCTGTAAGCAGCAGCTGAAAGAGACGGAGGGTGGAAAACATACTCCTTAGCCTTCACTTACCATGAACACGAAGTATAAAACCTGACAAAGAATGATACTGTGAGGGGCGGGACAGATAGCTCAGTGACTAAGAGCACTGCCTGCTCTTCCAAAGGTCCTGAGTTCAATTCCCAGCAACCACACAGTGGCTTACAACCACCTATAGTGGGATCTGAAGCTCTCTCTGGCATTCATGCAGACAGAGCACTCATACCAATATACATGCATACATACATACATAGTACATACAAACAAAAATACACTATATATATGCATATATATAGGCTTTTTTTAATAATGATACTGTGACAGAACAAATAGGAAAGAAATAAATAGTAGCTTTTTTTTCTAGGTCAAATATAAAACAAATAGCAAACTAGTAAAAACACCAAAAAGCAATTCATATTACAATCCCAGTGTGTTTGGAAGAGGGTCTTACCAGGTAGCCCTGGTTGTCCTGAATTTGTTATATACACCAGGTTGACAAAAACAAAAACAAACAAAAAGAATCCCACACAGAGATCTGCCTGTCTCTCTCTCTCTCTGTCTCTCACCCTCAAACTACATTGAGAACCAAAGATGTCTACCAACTTCCTTTAAATTCCTAATCTTCAAATAATGCATATTAACAATATAACCCTTTTCCTCACACCAGAAGATAAAAAAAACTAACTTTTTTGTAACCAAATAAAACTTATATCTCTCTCCCTACTGATCTAAATTAGTAAAGAGTAGCAAGCTATGTACTTACTAAATGAGAACATATGAAGAACAAAAGTTAATTTTCTTTTTGAAATTATAGAGCAACTTTATACAGCTACACAAGAACAGTTGCATTTGGCTACAATTAATCAATTTCAAACTGAAAAAATTTTTCCTAATGAATCAATAAATCAGAATGCTATTTTTTGTGTACACATGTGTAGAAGTGGTTAGATGATCACACCGATTGTCATCATTAACCTACACAACAATCATGAAACATATCTTAATGGAATCTAGAATGAATCTGTGGCAGTCAATAATAAAAAACTATATACTGCTGTTTACACAGAAACATTATCACAGTTAAAGTCTTAAGTTTAGCAGCTGCTGTTAAAAGCAACATGACAGTTGTCGAAGTCCACAAAACAACCTGGAGGAGAGATGTCTGCTCTTGCAGAGAACCCATACGGTGGCACACAATCATTTTTAACTCCCAGTCTAGGGATCCAACACACTCTTCTGACCTCAGAAGGCACTGCATGTGTGTGGTACACTTACATCTATGTGGAAAAAACACTCATACAAATAAAATAAAAAACTTTAAAATATTTTATATAAAATACAAGGTCAAAGTATACTGGTAATGGTATGAAGCCTATAAATTCTGTAATACTTTACTTATTAGTTTTAGTACCAAGATAACTCAAATCCAGGCTTGCCTTCCATTTCCACATTGCCAGACAAATGTTCTATGGTGAACTGTATCTCTAGACCTCTAAATTAATTTTAAAAGCCTAAGCTGGGTGGTGGTGGCGCACGCCTTAATCCCAGCACTCGGGAGGCAGAGGCAGGCGGATCTCTGTGAGTTCGAGGCCAGGCTGGACCAACAGCCTCCAAAACAATACAGAGAAACCCTGTCTCGTAAAACCAAAATACAAAACAAAAAAAAAAAAAAAAACCTAACTTTTTCAACTAAGTAATGAAAACAAGAATCAATATATAGATATGATTATTTTCATAAAGCATATTTTTGAGAAGGTAATTTTATGCAAAGACACTATACAACTATAAACATAATTTAATAAAAGCATTAAAATATGCAAAGAGGTTGAATAAAGTCTGACAGAGAGGGATTTACCAGTATCCTTTCTATGTATAATATATGTCTGGCAGTGTTTGCTTCATCCTATGGCATTGGTAAACGTTTTTTCTTCTTACCTTATCAAGAATTACCGTCAGGTGCTCCTTGCAAGACAAAGACTGGAAGAGTTCTATACACAGAAGAGACGACACTGCATGAGGAAGCAGCCGATGGATAATAACAGGAGATGTGGCGATTCCAAAAATGAGAATCAGTGGAAATTCATGCAGATGCTGACTAGTTTTTAAAGAAAGACACAAAAGCTTCTTCAGCAAATGCAGTTCAATATATTACACTAGAAAATGATCATTTTAAGATACTGTTATTAAGCCAGGCGTTGGTGGCACACGCCTTTAATCCCAGCACTCGGGAGGCAGAGGCAGGTGGATCTCTATGAGTTCGAGACCAGCCTGGACTACCAAGCGAGTTCCAGGATAGCCTCCAAAGCCACAGAGAAACCCTGTCTCGAAAAAAAAAAAAAAAAAGATACTGTTATTAAGTTTTCTAGGTCATTTTCTTTTTAAGGTAAAAATACTAATAATAAAATAGTAGCCACCTCCCAGATTCTAACTCTGAAATCAATCTTTTATGGATCCTTTCTTTTATAAATAAGAATACAGAGTTCCATAAGATTAGGCCACCAAAGGTATAATAACAATGTGTCAACTATCACTTAATATACCCTTACCAGCTTTGAGTCTCACCTACTCTTCCAACAGTCTCTCTTTTTCACACATACATATCTTTACATACATGTAAGTCATCTTTTTAATGGACATCATTCAAGAGAGTCATATCCCTTCCTAACATTTTTATCCAAAACATATTGAACATGATTTCATATCAGCACAACTAAGACAAAAACAAATAGCATCTATGGAGTGGAATGGTATTATTTATAAGGAATTCTGCAAGTCACACTTCTCTATACTGTAACTGCTCACTCCCATTTCCTATTGCTTTCCAATATTGGCTGTATGAAGTTCTTGTATATTCACAGGAATAAAACGCTATTCTCTCATGGTTATTCTAAGTTCTTTACTTCTGAGGTTCACAGGACTACCAAATCCAAGTTAAATAACACAGTCACATATCACCCTGCACATCTGCACAGAAAATAATTTGTAACAGGTCTTTGAACATTCAGTTTTGAAAATATAATCTAAAATAATTATAAATTTCATTAAGTTGGTCTTAAAATGAATGCTATATTTTAAAGTTAAAAGTAATAGTCTCTTAACAAAAAGAAAATGTTAACAAAAAGCCAAGTAACTGGAGGTGAAGAGTTTAAACAGGGATGGGGACAGGGAGATGAGGAGAGAAAGGTAAAGGAAAGTAAAACCAAACAGATGAAACGCCTCATGGAAATCTGCTACTTTGCATACACAGAAAACTAGAACAGGCCAGTGGGATTGCTCAGTGGGTAAAGGCACACCTGGTGACCTGAGTTTGATCATATGAGAACCCAGTTACTGCTGTCATCTAACCTCCACATATACACACTGTATTTAGATATACACAGTAATAAGAAATGAAAATACACATCACCTACCTGCTGATGATTATGAAGTCTTGGAGTACTTTTGTGCCGAAGCTCTCCATGTTCTTTAAGAGAAGCACAACAGGCGGAGACTGCCAATGGCTAGAAGAAGTTCTCTTTTTGACTGTCATTTTTGGGCCTGTCGCCTACACCATTATGGAATGGAGATGTTAAAAGCAAGCCTTGTCAGCCAAACAATACCATACTGCTGCTTGCTAATGTATTTCTATCTATATTTCACGATGACTGTTTTTAGTTTACCACATAATAAACAGTATCTATCTCATTCTAACAGTTACTAGCAAATTCTGTTTGTATAGAGATGGTAACAGTAAGAAAAAGGTTCTGTAAGACTCATAACACGTATGAAATAAATTTTCTTCTGAAAAACATAGGAAAAAGAAACTTTCTATACAATTGATTTTTTTTTCAGTTGATACATGGGTATGCTCTAACGTGAGTTTTACTATCAATGTAAAGGCAAAATGAATGCAGTATTACTAACTTTCAACCTTGAAATGGATACTAAATATTTGGCCAAACTGAATTTAAAGATACTGGACTTAGATTGCCATGACTGATTCCTAAAAATGTCCAAGAATTTAGATCAAAATAAGGTATTATCATAAGCATCCTCATATAAAACACAGTGAAACTTCATGTATGACTTCAGCAAAACACATTAGAAAACATCACCCCAGTTCTTTTACTGAAATTGTCTGGTAACATAGCAGTATAAGCTGGTGCTATTGTACTGCAGAAAACCAGGAATCCTTCCAATAAAGATGCTCATGGTAGAATGACATTTATATTTTGATGAATGTACATTATTTCCTGTATTGCTTTGTTCAATATACCTTATTTATATAGCAATGTTTCCCAAAAATTCTGAGCATGGGACAAACTAAAATTTTAAAATTACAGAATTACTCATCAAGGACTAAACTGACAGCAGGAATAGGCTATATGGGTCTATTAAAGAAAAGCAAGCACAAAGAACTTAGACGGTAATACAAGGAAGCTACAGGCATTGTTATGGAAATAGAATGTGTGACAGAACCAACTCTGGATGTGTTCTTCTTGTCATTTTCATGGACTTCTCCCACAAATACAACATCCTCCAAGAACCCAAGCATGTACCAGTAATTAATCTACATACTAACAGAATACTTTCAAATTCTAGAAGTTTCAGAAAAAAAAACTACCATAAAATTCCTATTACTAGTTTACAAACTTGTTAAATAACCCTGAGCCAACCTTCTGAATATTCAGTTATACCTGTGTGACAGTCATGTACCATCTGGAAAGTGATTCCATTGAATAATTTGTCTTTTTAGGGATGTTAACACTTTTCACCTCTTTGGATTTTCCATCCCCACAGCAGTCCATCAACTGTGAGGTCAACTTTTGTAAAAAGTGCTTCACATCTGCACAATATAAAAAAGCAGATTGTATAATTTGAGCAGAGTATATTTTTTCTATATTTAATCAATATAGTTAAATATGCTAAATATATTATTACTACTCATCAGTACCATTCCCTTAATATTTAAATTTCCTTAGGGGCTGGACACATTCAGTTGGTACTATACTTGTCTAGCATGCATAAAACTCTGGAGTTGCCTGCCAATACTAAATAGAAATGAATGTGGTCAAGCATGACTGAAATCCCTGGCCTTGGGAAAGGCAGAAGGACCAGAAGTCCAGGGTCATCTTCTGCTACATAGTAAATTCAATGACTGCCTGGGTTACATGAAACCCTTCCTAAATAAGACTAAATAAATAAATAAATAAATTTCATTAATTCTGACTAAGATCAGACCAAAATTTAGGTGTATTATCTACAAGTGTTATCTAAGCAAGTGTGTAAGCAAGAAATTATAAATTTTCAAATATTATGTACTTTCTGAACAACAAAAGAATGTCAGTCTTTAAAACCAAGAGTTACAAGAATTATTTTGTTGATTATAAATATTTCTTTACACTCATTTAAAAAAGACATCCTTAAGACTTTAATTCTAATTTATCACAATAAAAGTAAATCTGTTATCAGTCCAGATGCAAACAAACCTGAGTGTGACAGTGTGCACCCTTCATGATTTAATGGCTTTACATACTCAAGTCTGGCTCTGCATACAGACTATTTTTTAACCACTGGTGGCCTTTTCAATTGGGAAAGTAAATTGGTTTATGGCAGTGACTAAAACTGAGTGAGACACGCAGAATGGGGGCAGGCAGAGCAGAGGTGACCACATGCAGGGTGGGGGCGGGCAGAGCAGAGGTGATCACACACAGAGTGGGGGCGGGCAGAGCAGAGGTGACCACATGCAGGGTGGGGGCGGGCAGAGCAGAGGTGACCACATGGAGAGTGGGGCGGGCAGAGCAGAGGTGATCACATGGAGAGTGGGGCTGGGCAGAGCAGAGGTGATCACACACAGAGTGGGGGCGGGCAGAGCAGAGGTGACCACATGCAGGGTGGGGGCGGGCAGAGCAGAGGTGACCACAATTTTGTAATTGCTCACCAAGAAACCATGCCAGTTATATTTTACCTGGACAATCCTTAGCTTGCAATGAGACTACATATGGTGTGACATTATTCTGAAGGGTCTCTGTAAGACTTCTGAATATTAAATCATGATCTGTGACATTCACACCTATGAGAAAATAAACATCATATCAATAGCTTTATTAATAATTTAACAATGGGTATTTTTAAAAGCAAGTAAAGCACCAAATAAAAACAATTTATAAACACCATTTGCAATAGAAATCCAGAAGATTGCAACAGAATTGACTCTACTCACAGAACATGATCTAAAGGAAATGTGGTACCGTTTAGTCCTGAACAGCCCAAGGCCCAGGTGGTAAAGGCATGATTCTCAACCTAGATTCTTACTGGGCGATGGTGAGACCTACTGGAAGAAGTTCAGTCCTTTCTATCTCTGCCTACCCAGACACTATTCCACAATATACTATGTCGGAACACGCCCCAAAGCCAGGCCAACTCACTATACCCCAAAACCCTTGAAACCACGAGACAAACAAACATTTTCTTTCTTCAAGTTGATTATATAGATTATTTAGATTATTTCGTCAGTATCGAAAAGTTAACACAACTAACTTGTCCAGAAAGGCCTGTAGTTCAAGTCTTCCTCTGAAAAGGTTACTAAGCATATATAAATGACCTGGTAAAATAGCTTAGGAGCAATTTCATTACTTTATCAAATCCAGACAGGAACCATTAGTCATTTAAGTACAAGGAACTAAGGAATCCAACCCCTTTGGGACCTCACTTAAAAACTGAGGATAAAAAGATGACACTATTATTAAATCACAGTAGATAATTAAAAAGTACACACTATTTTCTGAGAGAACTGAAACAAAATTAAAACTTTGGGACTTCAATATTTAACAAAGCACCTTTTCATTTTGGAAAATCAGTTTTTGGTGCTCTCTATATGGCACATCAGGACGGGTTGGAAATTTCTTGAAAACTTTGGAATTCATTCTGTTAGCTTCCTAAGTTAACAATCTATGACTAAGATAATGTGGGAGACAGAGGGACACTGTCTCAAAAACCAGAGGAAAAATAATTTTTTTTTAGCTTTAGACTTGTCATATAAGTCAGAGGACTTAGAAAAAAAAATTCAGAATCTTTCATGCCAGCAAAAGCCGCTTTTCTCCTTTTTTTCTCTTTCTTTCACCTGACTACTTTGCAGGTATTGCGGTTTGAATGAGAATGGCCCTATAGGTTCATATATTCAAATTCTTAGTTCCAGTTGGTCGAACTGTTTTGAGAAGGATGAGGAGGTGTGGCCTTATTAGAGGAGGTGTCAAAGGGGATGGGCTTTGAGGGTTAAGGGCCCAGTCTCTCTCCTTCTCCTTCTTCAACTTGAGGAGAAGATGTATGCTCTCAGATACTGATGCAGCACCATGACCATCTGCCACTATGCTACCCACCATGACGGTCATAGACACACCATTAAATGCTTTACCTTATAAGTTGCCTTGGTTATATTCATGGCAATAAACAGAAAAGATTGCCGGCACTCTCTTTGTTTCTTTCAAGACAGGGTTTCTCTGTATAGCCCTAGTTATCCTACAACTCATTCTGTAGACCAAACTGGCCAAGAACTCAGAGATCCACCTGCCTCTGCCTCCTGAGTACTAGAATTAAAGGTGTGTTACCACATCTGCTATCTCTAATAGGCTATATGTAGTTTAGAAGAGACAGACATACACACACGTGCATACACTCACACACACACACACAGACATACACAAGCGCGCATGCATATACACACACGCTCATGCATGCATACACACACACAACAGAGAGAGAGAGAGAGAGAGAGAGAGAGAGAGAGAGAGAGAGAGAGAGAGAGAGAGAGAGAGAGAGAGAGACTGTGTGTGTGTGTGCTTGGAGCCTTCACTGTTATATTATTCCTAAAAAGCACTGAAGTCTATGATACAAATAATGCATTTCTAAACAAACTGGAGAATTCAGCTAAACAATGGCTTATCTTTCTCTGACTCTATAAAATCTATTTCACATTATGTTCTCTAAAACAAAATATCTTACTTCAAACAAGATAATCAACAATGTTGAAGAAATGATTATTTCATAGAAATAACTGTTGTGCACATTTCTCTAGTTTTAATGTTAATTCCTGTCTTTTAAAAGAGCAGCAAGTTCTCTCAACTACTAAGCCATGCTTCTAGACCTTCAACAGTTTAACCAGAAAAGTATTTCAGATTTTAAATTAACAAAATGTAATTTCTATTTTCCTGCTGACAACAAGTAGGACAGAGTAAATTCTCACAAGTTTGTAGTGCCCTTCCATCTACCTCAAACCCATTTGTTGAAAGCTCCAACTCTGTAGAGACCCAGGGTCACTCCAGCACTCTTTTCAGATTATTCTTTGTCTTCTTGCCACCTTCATGCAGGGCCCCCTTTTCTCACACACCTCCAACTCCCTAAGAACCTTCCCTCTTGGTGTGGACAGGATCCCTTATAGCTCTTTCTTAAAGTGACTCAGCCTTTTCTCCTAGTCCATCTCTGTTCCTCTCACAGACCTTAAGAAGCACTGTCTACTAGACAACTCTAAGATCCAGAGAGGGCAAGAGAAATCAAGGAAGAGAACATTCACCAACAAAGAAAAGATCAAATATCAACACCTAGAATCACTTCAATCATCCTAACTCCAGATGCCTACCCACCAGCATTAGCAGGCAAGAGAACCCAGTAAACCTCTACTGTAGTAGGCAATAAGAAGGATAATATAGTTGAAGCATGAGAAGGATCTCAAACCAGCACTTAGGAGTATGTTCAAGGACCTTAAAGAGGATGTGAATAAAACCCTGTGTGTTTTCACAAAGTCTGTGAAAACACAGCAGTACCATGAAATAATAAAAACAACTTACATCATGAATTTAGAATTAGGATCACCAAACAAAACTGAACCTGAAGTAAAACTAGAAATGAAAAATTTTGGAAGTCAAACAAAGACCTCAGAGATAAGCCACACACACTAGAAGACATGGAAGAGTGAATCTCAGGCATTGAAGAAGGAAAAAGAAATTGATGCCTCAGTCAAAGAAAATGTTAGCACTCAGGAGGCAGAGGCAGGCAGATCTCTGTGAGTTCGAGGCCAGCCTGGTCTACAGAGTGAGTTCCAGGAGAGCCTCCAAACAATACAGAGAAACCCTGTCTCGAAAAACCAAAAAAAGAAAAAAGAAAAGAAAATGTTAATTTTTTTAAAATCTAGGCAAAAAAACATCCAGGAAATTTGAGACATTATGAAATGAACAAATTACCAATAACAGAGAAAAAAGAAAGGAAAAGAAATTAAGGTCAAAAGCATGGAAAATACTTTCAACAAAATCATAAAAGAGAATTTCCCCAACCTAAAGAAGGAGTGCCTGGGAACTGGAGAGATGGCTCAGTGGTTAAGAGCGCTGCCTGCTCTTTCAGAAGACCTGGGTTCAATTCCCAGCACCCAGGCAGCTTCTGTAATTCCAGTTCCAGAGGACCTGACACCCATGGCAAAGCACTAACACATATAAAATAAAAACTTAATAAATTAAAAAAGGAGTGCCTATCAATGTACAAGAAGCATATAGAACACTAAATAGACAAGATCAAAAAGAAACTCCCCATAACATGTAATAATCAAGACACTTACTGTACAGAACAAGGAAAGAATATTAAAAGCTACAAGAGAAAAAGAATCAAGTAACACATAGAGGCAGTCCCATTAGAATAATATCTAATGCTCAATTCAGATTCTAAAAGCCAGGAAAGTGTAGCTGTAAATTCTCCAGACTCTGAGAGACCACAGATATCAGTCTAGACTATAATACCTGCCAAACTATCACAACTGATAGAGGAACAAAAACATTCCATGATAAAACAAAATCCAAGTAGTCTCTATCTACCAATCCGCACAGTTTAAACACATCCATGAAGACACAAGGAATAATAAATAATAATCTCAGACCAGTAAATCAAAAGGGGGGAAACTCACAGCATTAACAGGAATTAATAAGCACTGCTCGTGGATAATTCTTAACATTAATGTTAATGGTCTTAATTCCTCAATAAAAATACACAGATTAATAGACTAACATACCCAAACTTATGGGACAAAATAAAGGCAGTACTAAGAGACAAGTTCACAGTACTAAATGCCCACATAAAAAAGTTGGAGAGACCTCATATTCGCACCCAATAGCATACCACAAAGCTCTAGAATGAAAAGAACAAATAACACCCAAAAAAGAGTGGATGACAAGAAACAGTCAAACTCAGGGCTGAAATTAATAAAATTGAAACAAAAAATACGAAGAATCAATGGAATCAAGAGTTGGTTCATTAAGAAAATGAGTAAGACTTATAAACATCAAAATGAATAAAAAGATGGAGAGAGAAGATCCAAGCTGATAAAATTATAGACAAAAAAGGGGACATCATAATAGACAACAAGAAAATCCAGAGAATCATAATGTCATACTGTAATAGTCGGTACCCAACCAAACTGGAAAACCTAACACAAATGAATAAATTTCTTTATAAATATAACTTACCAAGGTTAAATCAATATGAGATAAGCAACAGAAACAGATGTATAACTTCTACTGAAATAGAAGTAGTAATTACAAGTATCCCAACCAAAAGAGCCTAGGGACAGATTGATTCAATACAGAATTCTACCAGACCTTCCAAGAAGAACTAATGCCAATACTTCTCAAATTATCCCACAGAATAGAATTTGATGGGACACTGTCTAATTCTTTTTATGAGGCCATAATTAACCTGATATCTAAACCAAAGACTCAAGAATGAAAACTACAGACAAATATTCCCTTTGAACAAGATGCAAAACTTCTCAATAAAATACTTGCAAACAGATTCCAAAAACTCAACAAATAGATATTTAACAATTTACACATCTAATAGTTAGTAGCTAAAATATATAAAGAATTCAAGTAACTGGACATCAAGAAAACAAATTTAAAAACGGAGCATGTAACAATATACAATTTTCAAAACATGAAAATCAAGAGGCTGAGAAACACTTATGTTCATTATCCTTAGCCATCAGGGAAATCAAAATCAAAATCCGTTGGAGATTTCACCTTAGCTGGGTGGTGGTGGCGCATTAATCCCAGGCTTAGGAGGCAGAGGTGGATCTCTGAGTTCGAGGCCAGCCTGGTTCTACAAAGCTACACAGAGAAACTCTGTTTGGGGGGAGAGCAGGTGAGAAAAAAAAGAAAAAGAAAATGCAGGTTTTATTTTAAGCCTGCAAGGATGGACAAGATCAATAAAACAATGGCAGCTCATGCTGATGAGGATATGGGGTATGGGAAACAGAGATCCATTGCTGGTAGTTCAAACCCTTACAGCCACTATGGAATCAGTGTGGTGTTTCCTCTGAAAACTAGAAATACATCTACCTCAAGATGCGGCCACTCCACTCTCGGGCCTATCTATTCCCATCTAGACACCCATCAGTGCATAGAGGAATAAAGAAAATGTGGTACAATTATACAATGGAACATTATTCAGCTGTTTAAAAAAATTATGAACTTAAAAGGAAAATGAGTAAACCTATAAAAAATCATCTTGAGCGAAACATAAAAAAAGATAATATTGCATGTATCCTCCTATATGTGTATCTTAAGCTTTTAAGTCTTCAATAGGCATGCTAGGTTAGGCATAGAGAAGGGATTGGGGGTGGGGAGGGTCTTCAAGGAAGGGGCGATAGAATAAGTAGTTTTATGGAGAAACATGGGAATGACTGGAGAGAGAAGGTAAAAATGGGGAGGGAAAAGGAAGAAGAGTAAAGGAGAACAGGGGAAGGACAACTAACATTACGTGCCAATTGAGATGTCATATGGAAACCCACTACTGTAGAACCTTCTTAAAATATATACATATATGAAAGAAATCTAAGTGAATCACCAAACAGTGGGGGAGACAAAGTCCTAACTAATCTTTTGCCACCAAATGAAACCTCTAGTGCCAGGAGTAAGTTAAATCTATGTGAGTCACTGCCCAAAGAGACACCATGGAAACTGTGTTTCAATGTTTGATTCCCAGGTGGACTGTTAAGGAAGGATTTGGAGGTGTGGCCTTATTGGAGGGGTGTGTTACTGGGGTCATGGTTTGATACTTAAAAATCCCACACCAGATCTAGTCTCTCTTGCTCTGACTCCTCCTTGCATCAGAATATGAGCTCTCAGTTTCTGCTCCATCATCACCTTGCCTGCTGGCGGCTATGCCCTCTGCCATGATGGTCATGTATTAACCCTAGAAAACTGTAAGCAAGCCCCTAATTAAATGCTTTCTTTATAAGCTGCTTGGTTGTGCTGCTTTTTCACAGCAGTAGAACAGTAACTAAGACAGAAACTCCCAAACAACTCAGGCTATTGCCAATGCCATTAGTTGCTCTACACAAACTTTCAGTAAGGCCCTATTGCTGAATACAACACTGAGGCACTACATGTTCTCAATGAACATGGAGAAGTCAAGCTGTTGCCAAACTAGACCGTTTACCCCTCCTGACTAGTGTTCGTGGTACTGAAGGTATTCTGCATACCACCAGAGGAGAAAGGACAAGCTACAAACCCTGGCTGCAACAGGAGCACAAATGCAAGAGTAATCAGCCACCATCTGATTGCATTTAAGGCCCACTTTACAAGATGGAGCCTGTGCCTGACACTGCTTCAGTGGCCAAGAACCTGAAACTAGATAGGCCATGGGCCTAGGGAAAACCAAAATATTAGTGTTCTGCTAAGGAAACACAACAATAAAATGACTCCTAATGAGATTTTGCTACACCCATGGATCAGTGCCTTGCTCACTCATCATGAGAGAAGTTTCCTCTGGCAGCAGAACTATTAGAGACCCAGACCACAACTGGACAACGTGCAGAGAACAAGCGATTTCAGAACACCCAGTACTAAATGGGACGTCTTCATCAAAATAGTTCCCTCAGGGCTCGGGGAACTAGGCAGAAGAGGCAGAAAGATTTTAAGAGCCAGAGGGGATGGATGACACCAAGAAAACAACGTCTTCATGACACAAGACTGACACACATATGAACTCAGAGACTGCTATGGTATATACAAGGCCTGTACAGGTTCAAGCCAGACGGGTTCCAGTGCTGAAAGATGGATGTGAACATGAGCCATGGGCTGCCATCTCTGACCAAGAAACTATGTGCAAGCAGTACCCACTTGCAAAGGGAAATTAAGTTTTCTCCAATAGAGTCTCACTGGGGATACTAACCACACTTAAGGACAGGTCCCAAGCCTAGCAGTAGATGGCGACTACTAAATGAATTCAATGGTATTTCTGCAAACTTATCTCATAGTGCTTGTGTTTGGCATTTTTTGTCTTACTGGTCTTTTGTGTATATGTTGTATTTTGAGTTTGTGGTTTTATGGGTTTTGCTTTTGTGTGTGTATGCTGTGTGTTGTGCTTTTGCTTTGTTTATTTATTTTGGCTTATTGGTTTTTTTTTTTTGTCTGTTTTCTAAAGAGAAAGAAAAGGCGAGGAGTTAGTTGGGTAGAGAGGATGTGGGAGGAGTTGATGAGAAGGGATACTGTGAACAGAATATATTACATTAAAAATATTCTCAATTAAAAGTATACAAAACTGAAAAATGCTGTTAATAAACCAGATATTTTTGTATTATCGAGAAACATAAGTATTTACTAAAAATTAGATGTTGATGAATAGTTTTAAAAATTATAAACTATAAGCTGGAAAGAATTTATAGAAAAATTATCCAAACCCTTCTCTAAGTAATCAATATTAATATAAGACAGTCTGAAATTGAGATATCAAGTGCAAGAAATAAAATAATTAGATAAATTTCAATGAAGATATGTTTTTAAAAAGGTACAAAAATATAAGACCTACTAACACACTGGTGTTTCATTACTGAATTAAAATTTCATTATTCTAAAACCACACATAAATAAGAAAAAAATAAAATACAGTTCTTTTAATCTAAATGTATCTGAATATATACTAAACTCATTGATTTACAATGTATAAAGTCAAATCATAGTTGTTTTAATTTGTAAGTTTTATAAGAACAAAATATTTTCCACTATTCTCATAACAAAACCAACTTTAAAAATATGCACAGGCATGCATGAATAAACCGATACATACATACCAAGAATAAGAGCAGCAGTTGGGATTTCTCTCAGTTTTATTTGACAGCCCCAGTTTCTTGAATTTTTCTGGAAATCAGAATGGGACTTTTGCAGAAAGTCAATTAGGTTACCAAATAGATTTTTATTTAATTCTTCCTGTAGTTGCTGCAATGAAAACAAAATTTCATGAATTATTAATAGCAGTAATCTGGTATTTGTTTCTTGGTGTCTTAGTTAGGGTTTCTATTGCTGTCAAGAGATACCAAGACCATGGCAACTCTTATAAAGGAAAATACTTAATTGGGGCTGGCTTATAGTTTCAGAGGTTTAGCCCACAATTATCATGGTTCAACATGGTGCTGGAGAAGTAGCCTAGTGTCCTGCATCTTTACTTGGATGCAACAGGAAGTGGTCCGAGATACTGAGCATGGCTTGAGCATATATAAAACCTCAAAGTCTGCTTCCATGGTGACAAATTTCCTCCAACAAGGCCATACCTACTCCAACAAAGCCACACCTCCCAAGAGTGCCACTCCTTTGGGGGACCATTTTCTTTCAAACCACCACTTCTGGCTCTTCCCTTTGAATGTTCAGTAATTTTAGTTGAGTGGCAACATGTTAACAGGGTAAAAGAACCCCACAAATGTATCAACATACAATGTACTGAAAAGGAATGGAAGGTGTAGAAACCCCACAAATGTATTCAGACACAATGTATTTCCAGAGAATAGAAGTGGAAAAAGCACACAAGTCCATTAACACACAATGAGCAGCACACAATGTATCAAATGTATTTCCAGAGAATAGAAGTGGAAAAGCACACAAGTCTATTAACACACAATGAGCAGCACACAATGTATCAAGAGGGAAGGATAGAAGAGCAAGAAGTGAAGCTTAAACTGCATTCTGGTGGTTTGGTTTTGTGAAACACGGTTTCTCTGTGTAACAGTTCTGGCTGTCCTGGAACTCGCTTTGTAAACCAGACTGGCCTGGAGTCACAGAGATCCACCTGAGTGCTGGGATTAAGGGTGTGAACCACCACTACCCAATGCATTCTGATATACAGAAAAAAAAAATTGTCAGTGGTGCTCCTAGGGTTGAGAGGGACAGGAGGAAGTTTAGGAGAGACAAGAATGGCAAGTAACAGAAATGTGAGAGTAAAACACACTAACAAAGATGGTTTCTCAGAGCCACCCTGTGTCTGCAACTTCTCAGAAGAACCATTGGAAATATACTCCAGCCATTTTGAGGTCAGGATCGCCCCAACCCTGGTAGAGATTGAGAGCTCTCTGGTAAACCAGGCATTGGTGGAGCATGCCTTTAATCCCAGCACTCGGGAGGCAGAGGCAGGTGGATCTCTGTGAGTTTGAGGCCAGCCTGGTCTACAGAGCAAGTTCCAGGATAGTCTCCAAAACAATACAGAGAAACCCTGTCTGGAAAACCCAAAAAGAGCTCTCTGGATCATGGCCACTTGGCTTCCCTGTTCTTCAGCTTGAACCTCAATATCTGTCTCTGGGTCTCTATTATTCATGCTATATCAATGAACAAAGTGAAGTGTAAAGTAATAACGATAGATGCGAAACAGTAAGAGACTAGAAAGTAGGTGGGCTAGAAAGATGGCTCAGTGGGTAAGAGTGCATGCTGTGTAAGCATAGGTCCTTAGTTAGAATTTCCAGTATCCACTTAAAAGCTGTGTGTACCTCTCATTAAAACAAAATGTATTGGTTAAGAGGAATAAGCTGTTGGCACTGGAGCTACTGACTTGCTGTACTGGAGATATCCATAGCCAGAGCATGTAGAAAGTTCTAGGCCAGCCTGAGCTAGCATTAACACCATGTCTCAATAACCCAAAACAAACAAAACACAGTGAAAACTGGATATAAGAACAAGTTTAGAAATCGCTTCCTTTCAGACTTGTATAACTTCTTCACTGAATTTAAGAGTGACTGTCACCATACTCAAGTTCTTTATCTTAGAAAATAGCATGTCCCAGTAACTGAGGTTATGTTTAAAATTTAGAACATAACACATTATTTTCTTTGAGGTACAACAATTGCATTGGTTATTTCTCGTTTTTCTATGCATACTCGCAAAAATCGTTAGAAATATGGGAGTAACAAATACAAGATTTACAGTATTTTCCTCAAGAAACGTAAAAAGGAAATTATTCACCTCTGTTTCAGATTTCATCCGTTGCCATAGCAAGCGATACGTTTCAAATCGCAGTTTACTGTCCTCAGACTCAAGTTTCTCATTATTAAAATAATCCTCTACAAAAACCAGAAAGTCAGTCAGTTTGTTTTTAACATAATAAAATTAAGAAAATATGTGTGGATACACAGCATGGTGGAGAGGTATCAAAACTAAATAAATCTTAAGTTATAACTGAAATCCAACATAAAAAATTGTATGTAAACACTTGCTTCACATTATGAAATGGTATCATAAAGCAATGGTTACACCACAGGGTCTAAAATCAGAGGATGGGTTCAGATCCTAGCTCTATGATACAGCAGAATACTGAGAAAGTTTTCTATTTTCTATGTATTCTTGTATACAGCAGTGGAAATAATACTACATTCCCCAAACTTTGCTGAGGGGATTAAAGGAACAAAAATGCTCAGAACAGCCCAGCACACAATAAATACTTTAAAATACTACTGAATTTATTATAATTACGTTGTTGGTGGTTTCAGATGTCACTGTATGGTATGTGTCTCGCATATATAATGAAGGAATTAATCCTTAATTTCCTTTAAACTATTTCTGGTAAGCTGAATCACCTCTAACATTAAGAAGTTTTGCTCATAATCACACTTAAGGTTTAAAAAGACCTAAGGGAACAAAAATCAACAAACTGGATGTTAAGATACCTTACCTATTGGCACAGAGATCTTTCTTTTCTTGAAGTCTGGTTTAAAAACAAAACAGCCCTATTTAAGAAAGAAAAAAGAAGAAGCACAAAGTCAGATTAGGCAAAGCAGACAAAAAGCAGACAAGTCTAATTACCCAGAAACTTTGTAACTAAGCAAAGTCTTTAAAAGGGAATTGGGGTGGAACAGATTTCTATCACTTTCTAAGAAATCAGAAGACTTCTCTTTGAAATACAGAGGGGGAGAAAGTCTTCAACAATTATACATTTCTTTCTCCTTAGTCCCATTGGTTGCTCTCACACTCTTTAGGACCGGCTGTAAGAGCTAGCTCAAATTTCATAAAATTTAGAAGGGAAATTTAAATTAAGATTAAATGCCAGGCAGTGGTGGCATACACCTTTAATCCCAGCATTTGGAAGGCAGAGGCAGGCAGATCTCTGAATTCAAGGTCTGCCTGGTCTACAGAGTGAGTTCCAGGACAGCCAGGGCTACACAGAGAAACTCTGCCTCAAATGAAGGAAGGAAGGAAGGAAGGAAGGAAGGAAGGAAGGAAGGAAGGAAGGAAGGAAGGAAGGAAGGAAGGTAATAGGAAAGGAAGGTTAAGTTAAAAACACTGATACTCTCCCATTCCAAAATGATTTCTTCTCTAATTAACTATAAGTATCTACAACCAGGATGTAAGTAGATAATTTTGGCTCTTGTTTCACTCAACATCTCTTTTTCAATTAATAAACTTTCTACTTATCCATTAGTTTTGCTCAAAACTCATTGTTCATCTCTGCAATCCCAGCACTTAGAAAGTTGAGGCAAGAGAATCACTGTGATTGATGCTAGCCTAATTTATATAGTGAACTCCAGGCCCCTGGCTATACAATAAACCAACTTTCAAAAAAAAAGAAGGAAAGAAGAAAACCAGGGCAGGTTTACACACTTGTAATCTTAGTGCTTATGGAGACAGAAGAACCAAGAGTTCAAATCATCTTCCCTTACATGAGTTTGTGGCAAGTCTAACTATGTAACCAAACCAAATCAAATTTGCATCTTTTACAGGGAACCTTCCTGGATTCTCTTGAGAGAAATGTTTCTCCCGAGATCTCAGGATTCAAACATCTTTGCTGTGTCTCCCTGATAGATTGTGAGTACATTTACAGCACAGATATTCTCCCGAGATCTCAGGATTCAAACATCTTTGCTGTGTCTCCCTGATAGATTGTGAGTACATTTACAGCACAGATATGTTATTTATAACCATCTCCTCAATGTTTATGATAGTACCAACAAACACATTAAGCAATCAGTACACAGAATGATTAAACACTTCTAGGTAATTTTCCTGGTAACTCTGTAGCCACATTAAGTTTCCTACTATTACATTTGACTACTATACTTGGCTCCTAAGTTTCTAGTTGTGGTGTATTCCACCAAAATGAATGTTAATTTCATGCATACTATAACAAGATTTCCATTTATAAGGAAAATGAAAGAATAAAAGAAGCGAAATATGACCAAAAAAATGGCATTTTAGGACTAGTGTTAGCTGTGTAAAACATAAAGTGGCTATGTGGATTACATGTTCCAAATTGAGTTGTAGTCTTATAACTGCAACTAGTGCCGGGCGTTGGTGGTGCACGCCATTAATCCCAGCACTCGGGAGGCAGAGGCAGGTGGATCTTCTGTGAGTTCGAGGCCGGGCTGGACCGACATCCTCCAAAACAATACAGAGAAACCCTGTCTCGTAAAATCAAAAACAAAAAACAAAAAACAAAAAAAAACAATATATATGTATATATTGAATATATATATGAATGAAAAGAAAAATAACAATACCTCATAGGTTTAAGGAGAAGAAAAACAAATGTAAAACGTTGGCAGTTCAATGAGTTGCTTAAAAGGTCTTATTTATTTAAGGTCTACTTCATAATCATCAACACAGCTATTTCTGTTAGATGGCAAAAAAAAAAGGTTTTTCTAATAAAAATTCCCATTTTCTACAAGTGTTACAAAAAGAGAGGTCTAGAGCTGCGGATACAGCTGGGCGGTAGGGCACTTGCTCCGAGTGCAGCTGCGGATACAGCTGGGCGGTAGGGCGCGCGCTCAGGGTGCACAAACTACAGAGTTATATCTACAAGCAGACAAGGAAACGAAGTTGTATGTGAATGGGACTAGAAGACAGGGTATCTAAAACATCTGGAACTTTGTGCCAAGGACAAATAAAAATACTAGTGCAGTAATATCTGTTTTTCTGCCATCAGTCAGACAGTCCTTTAATCCCAGCAAGGGGAGGAAGGGACAGCCGCTTTGGAAAGTGTCTCCATTTTGGTTGGAATGTGGCAATTTCTGTAACTGTAATTTGGCTTCTTGAAGTACGGTAACTTGTTTCTATATTCTTATCATCCCTGCTCCATACCCTCAGAAATGCCCCATAGGAAAAGTGTTAATCCATCACCTGAAATTCATGAACTGAGCACTCACTGACCACCTCAAGCAACCATGAATTTTTTTTATTTTTATTTTATTTTATTTTATTTTTTTGGTTTTTCGAGACAGGGTTTCTCTGTATTGTTTTGGAGGCTGTCCTGGAACTCGCTCTGTAGACCAGGCTGGCCTCGAACTCACAGAGATCCACCTGTCTCTGCCTCCCGAGTGCTGGGATTAAAGGCGTGCGCCACCAACGCCCGGCAGCAACCATGAATTGTAAGTCAAAACAGACAGACAGCATTTCAATCTCCCCCAGAAGCTTCACCCTGTGAATTGTGAAGGGACCCTCTCTGCCATGTGGGCCAAAATCCTCCTCACAACCTCTGCTGTGCTGTCTGTGATGTTAATATCACTTCTAATAAATCTCTTAAAGAAAAAAAAAAAAGACAATCCAGCTAGGTGTCCCCCTCGAACTCCAAACACAAAATCTTTCAGAACTTCTATTTTCAGTTCTATCAGACAGGCCATAGTAGCACAGTCCAGTAGAACTTTATTTAACTTAAATGTCAAACAGCAGCTTTGTTGTTCTACTGAAACATAGTTGGCAAACTTAATTCATCTTAATTCAAACGTAAATAGCCACGGGCCGCTAGGGGGCGATACAATCCTAGAGTTTCTCCTCTTATAAGCTACATTTTGATTTGCACTCCCTTGCCATCCAGGCGGTCCATGATTCCCCGACACAAACACTCATCTGAATTGCCTTTTTGTTCTCGCTTTTTCCTAAAGCTCCTTTCTCCACGTTCGTGTTATCCTGATTTTCCTATTTACTGTGCTACTCTATCTCTACATCCTAAGGGAAAGAACTTGTCATTCTGCTCTCCCACCCTCATGCTTTATATGCCCGCCACGACTCTCAGTTTTCAGGTCTTAGCCAAACTGTCAGTTTCCCCAAAAGCTTCGCGGGCTGGCCTCCTAGCACTCCTGGTCCGTCCCTCTTCTCTTAGAACTTTTCCCCTTGCTAATACGCCAATTCAAGATCAGCTGCTTATCCATATTTCTGAGTGCAGAGAGATTACTTTGTTTACGTTTGTATTTCGGTAATTACACGCACGGTAAGAACTCCTGCGGGGGAATAAGAAAGCGGGGAGCGGAGGCGGCCGCGGCACTCTCGGAAGCCGGCCCGCTTGCCTAGGTGCCCCGGCCAGTGGGCCAAAGCAAAGGTGGCCTCGAACCCGGACCTGGGCAGAGCCGCCCGAGTTCTGCTCTTCCCGGAGCCAGAGCCAATGCCCATCAAACCTCCGCCTCGCCGCGCCTGCCAAAGAAACATCGCGGGGCACGGGCAGGCGCCACCCCCACGTACCTTGGACACCGAGGAAGTGGCCATAATCCACGGCTCCTTGTGCCTGCGCACTGAACACTTCCGCGCGCCCTTGCGGAAGCAGAGGAGACTTCCGGCGCGGAGGCGGGGCGTGAGGAGGCGGGCGTCTGGTCGGCATGGCGTGCTGCTTTCGTAGGTCGATCGCCTGTCAGGTACTGTGGCGAGCCCGCGGGAGCCCGGGCTGCAGGGTGCAGCCTCTGCGGGCTCTGCCTTCTCCCCCAGCCGCGAAAGCACTGCGTGCTTCCCTGTCTTGACCTTCCCGTTCGTCATGCTTTTTACCTGGGAGGAATGTCTACTACGGGCCATGATTGGACCCTGGAGAAATGGATGTCCCTGGTTCATTTGTGGTCACTATTTGCTTTCACACAGCAACCTCGTAGTCTGCCTTTCTAAATGAAATACTTCGGAGCGTTGAATAAAGTCGATGATCATGAGTCATGCTAAGGTCTGGCGGTGGTGGCGCGCACCTTTAATCCTAGCTAGCACTCGGGAGGCAGAGGCAGGTGGATCCAGCCTGGTCTACAGAGGCAGTTCCATGACAGCTAGGGGCTGTTGCACAGAGAAACCCTGTCTCGAAGAACAGACAAAAAGTCATGCTGAGGGCCGTGAAGATGGCTCCTTGGGTAAAAGTGCCTGAGTTCGAATTTCCAGAGCCTATGTAGAAAAACCTGTGTGGCTAAGGAAGGCTGAAACCACAGTTCTGGGAGGTGGGGACGAACAGAGGGGCCCGGCTGCCTGGGTTTTGCTAGTGCTAGCACAGACTTAGGCCCAGTGTGACTGAGTTGTTTTAGACAATTCTGGAAGATGCTGCATGTGCTTCGTAGGCACTGCTTTAGTAATTAAACTCTAGTTTATAGCGATGACTTTAGTGTGGTGTGTGTGTGATTGTGTGTGTGTGTGTGTGTGTTCCTTCATATGGAGAGGCCAGAGGTTGGGTGTGTTTCTCTTAGTCACTGTCCACCTCGTTTTCTGAGGCAGATTTTCTTATGGAACTTGGAGTTGACCAAACAGTCAGCTAGGCTGGCTAGCCAGGGAGTCTGAGGTGTAATAGTGATTCTGGTGTTAGCTCAATTCACTGCACAGGACAGTCACAGTCAAAGACTGTCTAGGAAAGACAACAGACCAAAATGCAAAAACAAAACAAAAACCAGACAACTGAGAGAGAGAATGAAACAGTGGGTTATTTTGGTTTTTATTGAGGCAGGCTTCAGCCTCCAGAATAGAATGGAAGAGAAATCCAGAGTTGGGGAGTCTGTGGCTATTTGTGAGAGTGGTGTTGGGGGGGGGGGGGTGTTTCAAGGCTTCTCTAGTGCCTATGCGTGTCTCTCTGGCCCACCAGGAGGGTGACCCAGGCTGTTACCTACTAAGTGCTCAGTTAGGGAAGTGGTCTGATAGTTTTGTGTTTTCTGGGATATCAGAAAATTTGAATTACTGTCTACCTTTTTTAATATGGGTTTTACTTAGTATCACGTATTTGAGATTCACTTATGCTAAGTGCTTGTAACATTCCATTTACTCTGGAATAGATAGATCAACCATTTTGTCCTGTTCTGTTTTTACTTTTAGCTTTCCAGAGTATTGGCTCTCCCACCAGAAAGCTTGATCAAGTCAATATCTGCAGTTCCAGTTTCAAAAAAAAGAGTTAAGTATACCTGCAATGATCTGAAATGGTGAACTTGTTGGCAATCCAATTTTACTTAACTCTTCAATTTATAGAATAGTCCTTAAGTTACGATTCATTATATTCAACTTATTATGACTGGCATAAAATTGCAGCTCTAGGTGTTCTGTGTGAATGTGGTATTCCTTTGTTAATTACTTTCATGTTTGTTTTTGCTAGCAATAATGTCAGTCTTTAGGAAGCAGATTCTAATTTAATTATTTAATAATAGAAGAATGACAGTGGTTTTATAGAATTATTGAGGACTGTATAATCATCTGATGCTTGAATACTATTATACCATACTTTTCTGCCACTTTGGTTGTGTTGTTTTTGTTTGAGTTTTTATTTGAAGATTCCCAAGTGATAGAGAACTGTTGTTTAAGGCTATATAAACGCTATATTGTTTTCCTAGATGCAGAGAAAGGTCTCGCTCCCATACCTTTTCACTTTTTTTTTTTTTTTTTTTTTTTTTTTTGGTTTTTTCGAGACAGGGTTTCTCTGTGGCTTTGGAGGCTGGCCTGGAACTTGCTCTGTAGACCAGGCTGGCTTCGAACTCACAGAGATCCACCTGCCTCTGCCTCCCGAGTGCTGGGATTAAAGGCGTGCGCCACCAACGCCCGGCTCCATACCTTTTCACTTTCATTTTTACTGATTCTGTTTCCATTAGGGAAATTTTGTGCAGGCTCTGGTAAAGGGTTTAAATGTGTACAATGGTAGTCTCTCTAAACAAAATAATTGTTTGGAAAAAAAAATCCCCACTGCTGTAGAATCAGGAATCTCATTGTGCCTTCCTGATTGCACCAAGAACAGGAACGTTAGAGATTTACTAGCCACACCTGATCCCAAGGATGAAATGCCTACAATTCAGACCCGGAGCCTGAGGCCACTAAGGGCAGGAGTTCAGTTTTTTGTTTTTTTGTTTTTGGTTTTTGTTTTTTTGTTTGTTTGTTTTGGTTTTTTTTTTTTTTTCCGAGACAGGGTTTCTCTGTGGCTTTGGAGGCTGTCCTGGAACTCACTTTGTAGACCAGGCTGGCCTCGAACTCACAGAGATCCGCCTGCCTCTGCCTTCCGAGTGCTGGGATTAAAGGCGTGTGCCACTAACACCCGGCTTGGAGTTCAGTTAATACTGAGAAATTGGAATGGTTTGGTTCCCTTTGGGGAGTGTATGAAGGGAACATACCCATATAGTAAGACTAAGACACAAAGGGACACATTTAGGGAACAGCTCAGTGCTTATCCCCTTTAAGAAATGAAAATTGCTCTTAAATTGTTGTGTAGTGTCTGGTCCCCAGAAGTCCTTTCCCCTAGTTCAGGCATTTGGATAAATACCTACATTCCCTGGGGGGTGTGGATGGGGCTTAAGGGAAGTTCCTGCTTGCTAAAGCAGTTTTTCTTATCTCTGGCTAGAGGAATTTGTGGCTCTTTCATTAACATATGACTGGTGCCTATTGCCAAGGTCAATGCAAATTCCTCAACCCCTGACCTCAAGCCACACCCCACCTCTCCTGCGCCTTTTCTCCCATTTAATACTACGTGCAACTATAGGTTATAGTAAGTCTTTTTTTTTCAGTGAGCACACCATCAGTCACCCTAATTCACCTAATTCATTCATTGTGTCTGTTCTGTCCCCCATACTGTACATCCTGTGTCATCACACCCAGCCCCCCTATTCCACGCATCCTCTTTGGACCTGCACCCCTGCCAAAGCAGGTCTCCGGTTGACTGCATGTATTTTAATCAGATTCTTTCTCCTACTGAAAGACCCCTACCCAGGACCCCCTAGGAAAAGAAAAGCAAGGCCAGGCCATTGCCTAATGAAAGAAACCCAGACCAGGTGTCTCACCCTCAAAACAGGATGTCTGTGATCACTATAGCAGTCATGGGACCCGGATAATAATTGCTGAAGCGTGCTGGGAACTTTCATATGACAATACCAGGACACCTAGTCCTTGGCAACTACCCTTGCCCCCAGTTGTGTCTATGATCACCATAGTAGTCATGGGACCCGGATAATAATTGCTGAAGCATGCCGGGGTCTTTCATAAAGTAATACCAGGAAACTTAGTCCGTGGGAACTACCCCTGCCCCCAAGATGAGCCAATGAAATGCCTGTTACTTATGTAACCATTAAAACTCTATAAATATTGTACTCCCTGCAAGCCCGGGATGCTCTGCACCCGAGTTGCAGCAGCATCCGCAGGCGCCTGTGTACTCAATAAATCACCTCTTGCATTTGCAGCCAGTGGTCTGGCCACGGTTCTTGGGCAGAGGGTTCGGTTCAGTGCCCGGCGCTTTGATGCCAAGGTCTTTCACTACCCAACTGCCCCCATTTCCCTACCAGCCCAGCTTCCTGTTCTTTCCTCATCTCTCTAAAAAATAAAAATTAAAAATTAAACAAAAAGCAAAACAAACAAAATCCCAGTAAGACTAAAGGTGCCAAATGGAAATTGAAGACCCACAAAAAAAAATCCTAGGAGTTTGTTTTGTGTTGGCCAACTACTCCTGGGCACGGGACTACTCTGTATGTGGTTGATGTCTCCAGGGACACTCCATTGGCGAAACTGCATTTCCCTTTCCCAGCAGGCATCGGTTGCACATAACTCCTTGCCTAGGGTTGGTTATTTTGTGCCCACCTCCCAGAAAGCTTCTCAATGGTCATTAGAGTTTTTATAATGTGATGTTAATAGAAGCCATACAGGAATTTTTAGGCATTTCTCTGAATGTGATACGTGACTTGAAGGAAGTTACTTGTGCATTTACAGCGTATATTCTTTTTTTTTGTTTTGTTTTTGGTTTTTGGGTTTTTTTTGTTTTTACGAGACAGGGTATCTCTGTATTGTTTTGGAGGCTGTCGGTCCAGCCCGGCCTCGAACTCACAGAGATCCGCCTGCCTCTGCCTCCCGAGTGCTGGGAATAAAGGCATGCGCCACCACCGCCCGGCCTACAGTGTATATTCTTTTAAGTGAATGACACATGGCTAGACAAACAATGATATACCTCACTTAACTCTCTTTTGTGGTCTTCCATTGAACATCAGACGATGTCAGTATATGTAGTTATGTGGTTACTTGTACATTAATTAAAAGTAGTGTGTAACTTGAATTATCACAGCTACAGAAAAATCTGTAGAGACCACATGATGAGCCACTCTCAGTTCTAAACTGTCAAGCCTTTCTTCCAAATCCAAGGGCTTTTTTGTCTTATTGTTTATTTTTTAACTTGTAAGGTAGAGGTAATTTGATTTAGTCTTGTTTTGTTTTTCTCAATGAGACTGTAAATACTGTTGTAGTGACTGGATATATGTCTTTGATCCATTAATCTCCTTATTTGCAAATAGCTTCTGTCATCATGTAAATGATTGTTCCTTCAGCTGGTTACACTGAGGTTTTTAATA